GTGCACAAGCTTCAGACTTCAGCGTTGGCTGCGATTTTGAAGCTGAAATCGCGTTCGGTGTGAACGCAGCATAACAGCCGTCGAGCTAGAATGTTTGCCTTTCCTCGAGTTTGTCACCATTCTTCTACTCTTCCAGGCAAGAATCACTCGGGTCGAGTCCGGACGAACCAAATGTTCAAAACAGCAAGGACATTTAGTAGAGAACCACAAACAGAACAAGTCGGAGCGGGAGCCACGCGACACACGTCTCACTCCTCCGCCATCTTGCCCCGCCTCTCCAGTACATTCAGATTATTTAATATGAATACATTTCAATCTGATCAAAACATTTTGTGAATGTAAACATAGCTAGTGTTTCCTCGGTTAGATGAATGTTCAGGGTCGTGGGCGTGGTTTAAGCCCCTCCAGAGGACACGCCCCCAACATTCCAGACCACAGCTAACTGATATTTTCATTACTTTTAACACATAATTTATAAGGTTAACAGTATTTTTAATTGTTCAAACTTGGCTGGGTGATTTTTAATACATATTTCTGTGGTGTGACAACCTCAGAACACACATTTATTTTTACTTTACACGTTCTTTAATTCTCAGTTTGATATCATGGGTCACACATTACATCCCTGTAGATTTGATATAAGGCTCATACTTTGGTATCTGTGACCCCGGTGGCGTCCTTGATGCGTCTGAAGAMTTCCTTGTTGGTGGCACTGGTCTTCTCTTCTTCAGCTGAGTTCCTGGTGGTGCTGCGCTGGGTCTCACTGCTCAGCTCATCTGGCTGCATGGCTGTTTGCTCAACCTGCAAGAGGAAAAAATGTGCTTTTACATCTAATTCTGCCAGACTGAGAACATTCTTCAGCTTTTACCTTTCTATCAGATTTTGGAGATTTGGACTCTTCCAACATCTTCTTGTATCTTAATATGGTCTGCTCCCTCTCCTTGCGCTCTCTGGACAGCAGCTCTTCCTGCTGATGTAACTCCACCTGAAGGAGAAAAGACCTGAGATTAAAACAAACAAAACTTCACTTTTGACAGATTTTTAGCAGATGGAAAAAAAATGAACCAAGAGGCATTGGGCCTCATGCAAGAACCGTTGGTACGCACAGATTTGTTCTTAAGTTGTGCGTACGAGTG